AATCCTAATGCATTGCTGATATGTGTCTTCCTTATCTGAAGTCTCTAGGTAACTCTTGTGGGCCCACAGACTTGTCACAGTGCTATACTGCAAACAAAAACAAAAACAAAACAGATACTTTACAGTAGCCAAAGAGATACTATTTTAAAAAGTTTTATGCACCAAATAATACTGCATACATGACCTTAACCTAGTTTTCTTTTTTGTTTGTTTTGATTTTTTTGTTTGTTTTGTTTTTGTTTTTGTTTTTTGAGACAGGGTTTCTCTGTAACCCTGGCTGTCCTGGAACTTGACCTGTAGACCAGGCTGGCCTCAAACTCAGAGATCTACCTGCCTCTGCCTCCCCAACACTGGGATTAAAGGAGTGCACCACCACTGCCTGGCTGAACCTATTTATCAAAGAAGTCCATCTCTAGTATTAAAAGAAAGTGAGATGTCATATTTTATCATAAACTGCCTTTTTGACTAATAAGGAAGACTCCACACACAATCTATAGATCAAAAGCAGACCATTAATTAAATATAAGAGGGACAAGTCCTTACCTTTCTTTCTTCCCCCACCTATACAAAAAATGTATAGAACACACACAAACCTACAACCCTATTGACAGTTCATGATCAGAAATTCAGATGAGCACTGGGAATTCTCACAAAATATTCACAAGTGTTTTTTAAAGCCAAACAAAACCACCATATAAATAAATAGATTAAAATCAGCATCTCATGTCTTCACCATGAGAATTTACACAAGGTTTTGCGTGTGATTCAACTCTGGACACAAAACTCATTGAGATTCGTTAATGTCCTAAAACACCCCTTTTAACCATATAAGCTCTGAACAGACTTTAAAAAAAAAAATCACAGCCTGTGGGGTAATGTTGCAGAATTTAATAATCACGTTGGACCTGCAAGTCGAAGTCCAGCTCCAAGTCAAATATTTGCAATTTTTCATCCTAAATCTGCACAAAGAAATATATCAGGCCCATAAATTACAATGATCTTCACCCCAGTTTCACTCTGACAAGCTCCGAATCCCACCACCTACTGAGTTCCTAATCTGCACATATACCAGGAACTGTGCTGGGAATCTGCAGGCTTTATCTCTAATCCTCACATGAAATCTCCCTGTATTGATGAGGAAACTGAGGCAAAAAGAATCAAGGTGATTTGTCCAATGGCATAAAGCCAGTCAACAGTGGGACTGGGATGTCAGCCTAGTTTGCCTGGTTCCAAGGAACTCTTCCTTTAGCTAAAAAACCACCAAATACAATACCAGTTCATCCCCATCAAAGTCAACACACACACACACACACACACTACTTATCTCAAAGACAAGACCTAAGGAAAACATCATACCTAAAACAGTGACGCATAACCCAGGAGTTACCAACTCCAGAAGAATTAGTTTCAAAGACTATTTGCTCAAACTCTGAGACAATCCACTCTTTCCTCTACCCCTTTCTGGCTATTTCAACTGACTTTTTAGAAAAAAAGGAAAAGAAACTCAAGCATATATTCTCAATTTTGGTAAAACCATCAAAAAACTATATGAAAAGAGAGAAAGGTAGATATAGTTCACATTATAGTTTACTTCATCAATAGGCTTCAGACATGTAAAACCAAAAAGTCACATCAGTAACCCTATTAATTTATATCTCTACACACACACACCCTACAGACTTGAAAAGTATTTTCTTACCACACTACAGGTTTACTCCCAAACTCAGAGCACGAATGGAAACCACTCTGGGTGTCTGGAAGCAGATCTTGCGGCAACAATTGCAGAGAGGAGCTGCTGGTCTGAAACCTCCTAAGGGAAGGCTGTCTGAAGGGATGTATTGAAGAAACTGAAGCTGTTGGTCCTAATGAGGGTGAGCTGGGGCATCACTACTCCTCCAATGTCTCACTGTTATGCTGTGCAATTGTTTCCCAGCTTCCATGTTCTGATTCTGGCAAGCGCAGAGAGAATGCTGTCCTCACAGCCCTGAGTGCTACTTGATGAGCTGCTCCATGGTGTCACTTAACTAGGTAAGTGACTGGTTAGAATGGGTGCAGCAAAATTAAGCCCAGTAAGCTCATTGTCCCGACACTACAGTGGCCCTCCCCTAAGGTTACATTCACTGACAAAAGTAACATATTTGAAACTTTGAAGTCCTTTGATTTTAGGATAGGCAAATAATTTAGGTGATAAAACTATAGGCGTGCCACCAACAAAAAAAAATTATATAACCTGTAATATAAGTCACTTCAGTCATGCATATTAGGTAATAAAAATGCAACATATGCAACCTCAGCATACTTTCAAACATCATAGAGTACACAACATAATTATTAGAATAAATGCTATTCTTCAGGTGTGTGGAACAGGTTCTGTGCAAGATTCCAAGCCTCTCTTGCCTTTCAAAAGGCTAGTTAATAGCAGGAATTCCTTAAGCTCTCAGAAGTCCATTTTTTTTAAAGTGGAAACTGTATGCTCCTTGAAACCTGGGACTGTGATTACTATCACTGCCTATCACAGCACTATCTATATAAGCTGGGACATATGTCTCTTGGTTGAAATATGATCAAAAGACAAACGAGCGAAGAGTAATTTAAACACACACACAAAAAAAACTGACATTTATCATCTGCTTATTGGCAGAATAGTGCAAAGTTTATCCTCGGCTCTTGATTCTAAATGTGAAGAGCAAAATTTTCAATATAACCAAGATCTTCCCATTAAATTGGATGGTTTTAATGGCACCATAAAATCAAATTTAGAAAAGCCTGGGGGGGGGGGGACTCTCAGCCCTCAACAGGTGTGCTCTACTATTGAGTGACAAAGAGGTCAGTCAGCCTCAATCTTTAAGGCCTGCATAGTCCGTATAGGCGCATTTCACTGTTGAAATCGCTACATTTAGAATATGTAGGAAGATGATCAATTGGTCAAATCTAGATTATTTTGTCTCTAGTTTTAACTTCTTCTGAACCATTCTGACCCATCTCCCTTTTCACAGGAAGACAGGGAAAAATATCTCAAAATTCCTAACTGCTCTTACCCAAAGAACAAAACACAATGATAAGCCATCTGGAGAGATGGTTCAGCGGTTAGGAGCACTTGTTGCTCTTACGGAGGGCCGAGGTTCTATTCCTGGCACCTACATGGTGACTCACAACTGTCCTTAACTCTACTTCCAGGGTTTCCACCACCCTCTTCTGACCTCTGTGGGCACCAGGCACATATATGATACACATACATGCAGGAAAAATATGCATACAAATAAAATAAATCTAAAAAGTATTCAATTAAAAAAGAACCCTACAGCGATACATAGGAAAGCGCCTTTGCTCTCTAGTCCAGAGACAAATTAAGTCTAATGCTCAAGAGAAACAAAACACAAACTGCAACTGCTTTCACTTTTGCATAACACAGATCTTAACTTGAGGTTCCAGGACCAGCTTGAAGATGACTATTCAGTTGCATATAAACCGTGTATGTATTTCACTGCAAAGAGAGACCTAAAGACTTCTACAGCCCCATCAAAGAGTTAAGGATCACAAAAAACCTTAGCGGTGAATCTTTTAGTCTAAAAGCAGTACCTATGTGAACACATGTGCACAGTGGTGATACAAACAGGCAAGCCGTTGGCACAAAGCAACGTAGCCATCGAAGACCGGCCCCATTGGAGAACATCAACTGCCTTCAGCCCACAGCACACATTCGAGCAACAGCAGCTTTTTCCTTTCCTAAGCAAACATACATGCTGTCAACAATGCATGTGATCTTTGCCTTTCTCAGAACAATACGGACCCGACCATCCTTCGGAAAAAAAGTATATAGACCTTCATCCCAAAAGATTACAATATTTACACAGGCTATGCCTTGTTATGTCAAACGTTGCAACAACAACAACAACAACAACAAACCCTACGAAATTACTGTGTACAGTAAGTATCTAATTAACTGGTGGGGGTAGGGGGTGAGTGGGGAAATATCACTCAGACTATACTGAGAGTGCACTGGAGAAGCATGCAAGGGAAACACCTCGACGATGCTTAAACATGGGTGAGATCCAGGGGCAACCAAAGACTGTTTGACAGAGGAACATCCTGTAGCTTGGTTGTGGAAAACATCTTCCTCCAAACGCACATTCCTTTGATTGGCATAAGCCATTCCTGACAATGGATCCACGATGACAGGGGCCGTTCCGTAATCAGGAAGTGCTCGAGTGTGTGTGTGCATATGTATGTGCTCGAGCGTGTTCGTGATGTTGTTGTTGGGGAGGGAATGAGCTAGATGTAATCAAAGACTGGCCCGCTTCAAATATGAGCATATGGGATGTTAAATCCTGAAGAGTGACTTCGGGGCGAGGCAGGGACATCTATCATTTCTACCGGAGAAGTCCCTCAACAATGATCATGTTTCGTAGACATGTAACAGGGGTGTCACTCTCTTTGGTGTCTCCGATCTGATACTCTTCAGTAGAGCCTGATTGGAGGGGAGGACGAAGTGGGGGTGGAGAAAGGTCTACATCGCCCACTGGGCTGAGTGTGGTGCTGCCGGTGGCGAGTGTACATCACATGCGTGTTATCTCCCGGTGCCACAATACTCCAAAGGGCTGGAGGTTTGGGCGCAACCGCAGGGCGGGGGGGGGAGGCAGTGGGTGCAAGCCACCAGCTGCAGGGCAGGAGAACGCTCCCCTCCGCCCGCTAACCCGTGCACCCCGGCCACCCCGTCAGGCCTCGAGGCGAGCCCGCTCGCTGCAAAACTGCAGCCAGGCTGGGGTCCCGGAGGGAGGGGGCGGGGGTAAGGAGCCGGCACCCCGGGCCAAGCTGGGAGTCGCAGACGCGCAGCGCCCGGGGCCTGCCCGCCGGATGGGGGCTGCTCCGGCCTAGCGCACGCAGCTGCCTCGGCGCAGGCTCCTCCAGCCCCGCCAGCCCCGTCAGGCGCAGAGGAAACGCGGCTGCCACGGCGCCGCCGCGGCGGGGGGCGAGAGCGCGGGGAAGGGGCCCCTACTCACCCGGGCCGCCGCCGCCGCCGCCGCCGCCGCCGCTTCGGCGGCCCATCCCTGCGGCGGGGGCCTGTCGCCGAGCCGCGTCGCTCCAGTCCCCACCGCCCGCCGGGCCGGCCCCTCCCCCTGCCCAACGTCTGCGCTCTGGGCCGCTCCTCAGACCCGGCCTCGGCCGCCGCCGCCGCAGCGCTACGTGGCCGCCGCTCCGACGTCTCGCGACTCCCTTCCGAGCGCGCGAGGCCGAGCGGGGCCGCGGGGCGGGCGGCGCGCGGGGCGGGCGGCGGGGGAGGGGGTGTGCTGTAGGGATGTGTGCGCGAGGGGGCAGGGAGGCTGGCGGGGACGCGCGCGCGCGCCCGCGCCCCTGCGCTCGCGCCCCCCCCCCACGCCGCCGCGCGGTCCGGATCCCGACACCTCCCCCCCATCCCCGGCTGTGGGGTCGGCGCGCATGCGCGGCCCTTGGCCCGGCCTGGGCGCACCTTTTCTCCCTCCTGCCACAATGTGAGCGCTCAGCCGCGCAGATAACCGCCGCCTGCCTGCTCCACCCCCGGCCCTCGCCCACTCCGCCCACTCCCGAGCGCCCAGGTAAAGGCGTAGGCAGCGCATGCGCGTCGCTTCCGGGCGGTGGGGGGGTCGGGGGCGTGGTTGCCAAAAGGAAGCCTAAAGCCAGAAGGTGAGGGAATCTGTGGGCAGGGGTTTTTGGAATCCCACAAAATAGGGAAAGATAAAAGTGAAAAGGAGGAGAAAGTGGAAAAGCGGGTCAGAGTGAGATTTGGAAGTAAATGTCTTTGACTTATGGTGTACGTTCAAAAAATAAAAACTTAAGTGCTGGCCACCTTGTTTGTAGAGAGTGACATGACAGAAATAAAAGCAACGACAGACTTATATGCAGTAGTCATTTTCCAGATAAATAGGATAGCTGACAACAATTAGAGGAATTTAGAAATTGCCATGGTGGTCAGCAAAACGGACGAATTGCTGTGCTTGTCCTGTGGTCAGGAATAGGGAAGCGTGTGTGTGTGTGTGTGTGTGTGTGTGTGTGTGTGTGTGTGTGTCGGTGTGTGTGTGTCGGTGTGTGTGTTGGAGTCCCAGAGCTGCTGCAAGAAAGGAAGGTTCCACTGTAAGAAGTATGACCACATTATGACTAATTAGCTATTAATCATTAATATAATTAATTGTACTATTAGTTAACAAGGTAGCATTTATCCAAGCTCAGAGCCAAAAGAGTGTCTGCAATTAAAAGTGCTTAGGGTACAAGGAGAGGAAATGGCTTGGCAAGGTGAAGGCTCCATAGGAAAGACCCAAGGTGACATCCCTAGGTCAGGATAACCCTTTCCCACCAGGAACAAACTTCCTGAAGTTCTCCAAGCCTTAATTAGAACTCCTTCCATTGTTTTTATATCTACTTCTTTTACTTTGCCTGCATGCATGTATGTGCACCTGTGGCTGTTTGTCGGATCTCTTGGAATTGGGGTTATGGATGGCTGTAGGCCACCATTTGGGTGCTAGGAATTGAACCCAGGCCCTCTTCAAGAGTAAAAAGTGCTCTGAACGTCTGAGCCTTATCTCAAGCCTCCTTCCTTTTATCATTAAGCACATACATTAATGTCCTTCCACCAAAGCTGACCCTCCACCCTCACATCATGGAAACAATATCTGTATAGATGCGGCCAGTACATCGGCCATAAACCCTACTTGCCCAAATCCTAGACCTGAGCCTAGGACAAAGTTAAGAAAGCAATTGAAACTTTATAAATACAGAGTCCAAGAGCTGACTCTGTCTTTGGCCCCTTCCAGAAACAGATGTTTAGATTTTATTATACTTGGACTCCAGGCTCCAGGGATCAGAGTTTTGGGACTTTGGGCCATGCTCTTCACTAGTGAGTGCTTTTCAGTGGATAAACACTAAAATCTGTATCATGTTTCCACAGGTGGAGAGAATATCTATTTTCAAGCAGAACAGGAGAAAGTAAGCATACATAATAAAATTAAAGTCAGTGTAAGAATGAGCTCGTGGTCTGGTGAACTCAGAATGTCTTCCTGGACACTTGATCCATTCCTCCACCCTCTCTGCTGGTCAGGCTGTTCTGCTTGGATGAGGATAGAGTGATGGCCAAAAACTGAGGTGACCTTCCAAGTGTATGACTCTCCATCCATAGGCCAACTCTTTGAATGGACCCTGTTAACTACAATATTATAGTAATTCAACTTTCCATTTCAACAGTGCTTTGAGGTTCTTTTTTATTATTATTACATTTTTCTTATTTGCATTTATATATACTCAAAGGACAACTTGTAGGAGTCAGTTCTCTCTACCATGTGGTCCTGTGCATTGAAATCAGGTCCTAAGGCTCAGGGACACACAGTGTTATCCAGTGAACCATGTCACCTGTCTCGATCTGTGGCTCCTATGGGGAGTTTATGTCCATTATCTCATCAGATCTCCCAACAACTGCAAGGGCAGACAGAACAGGCATCATTTCCAATGAAAGAAAGTCAAGCCAGGGAATGTTTTGGTGGCTTAGCCAAAGCCACTCAATCCAGTAGACAGAACCAAACCAAGACTCAGGTTTCCTAGTTCCCACTGTGCTAGTCTCTTGGAGGATTTGATAGCTCTACTCTAAAAAACTGTCAGAAAGGCTGGGTGGTACACACCTTTAATCCTAGTAATTGGGAGGCAGAGGCAGGCGGATCTCTGTGAGTTTGAGGCCAGCCTGGTCTACAGAGTGAGTTTTAAGAGTGCCAAAACTACACAGAGAACCCCTTTCTCAAAAAAAACAAAACAAAAGCCAGGTGGTGGTGATGCACACCTTTGATCCCAGCACTTGGGAGGTAGAAGCAGGCCGATCTCTGTGATTTCCAGGCCTGCTTGGTCTACAAAGCTACACAGAGAAACCCTGTCTCCAAAGGGGGAAAAAAAAGACAGTGGGTAGAAGCCAACAGAAACCCACCCCACTTTTGGTTGACAGCTTTTTATGTAACTCACATTGCCCTCAGAAACTCTAATGGTATCTTGGTCCTTTTGCCTCCACCTCCCCAGCAGTGTAGTTATAGACATTCATCACTGTGTCTGACTCAGAGGCTTCCCCCCACCCCCTTTATTGGAAACAAGTTCTCTCCATGTAGTTCTGGCTGGCTTGTGTAGACTAGGCTGATCTCAAACTCACAGAGATCCAACTGCCTCTACCTCTGGAATGCTGGGATTAAAAATGTGTGCCACCACCACACCTGGCCCTATATTAATTTTTTAACAGCCAATAAAAATAAAGCCCTAATTTTAAGAGTCAGATGGCCAGAGCTAGAAACTGGGTGTTCAGGGTCCAAGTCCAGGACTTCTCTGACTGCATCCTGTAGCTCTTTTCTGGATACCATACAAAGCAAATTGAACAGATCTGGTCTCTGCCCTCTGAAAGTTTGGACTCAAATGAATAGCCAGGATGCCGACAAACATAAAAGACCAAAGTGATTTTTACAGTCCACACGTGCCAATAAATGAGTTGATAAGGACAGGCATATTTACCTGGTCTTCTAGTATTCTTTTAATTCTAGTCAGGCAAAAAGGATAGTTTTAGTTAAGACTAAGGTTTAGGACTAATCTCAATCTGCCTACTTACTTTTCACAGATGGAAAAATATTTGTAGGAGGCAGAGAGATGGCTCAGCAGTTAGGAGAATTGGTCACTCTTCCAGAGGACCTGGGTTCAATTCCCAGGACCCAGGCAGCTCATAATTGTCTGTAACTCCAGTTCTGACCTCCATAGTTCCCAAGCATGCACATGATGAACAGACACACATGCAGGTAAAACACTCAAACATAGAACATAAAAATAATAAGTCTATAAAAATAAATAGGGTCAGGCATGGTGGCTGCAACCTTTAATCACTTCTAGCACTTGGAACACAGAGGCCAGCCTGGTCTACAGAACAAGTTCCAGGACAGCCAGGGTTATACAGCAAAACCTTGTCTCAAAAAAAAAAAAAAAAAAATCCTTATCTTTGCCAAATGCTAGTACCCATAATGGAGAGGTACACTTTCAAATTTGAATTTGAGAGCAATGCTTGAGCAATGGTTCTCAACCTTCCTAATGCTGTGATCCTTTAATACAATTCCTCATGTTCCGGTGACCCCTGACCATAAAACTTCATAACTATAATTTTGCTACTGTTATGAATCATAATGTTTTCTGATAATGACCCCTATGAAAGGGTTGCTTGCAATCCTCAGGCTGAGAACTGCTGCTCTAGAGAAATGAGGCCATCACCTACAATCTGTAGCTTCCTAGGTATCTAAGCAAAGGCAGAGACAAACCCTGGCTTTAGGGAACTGGACCCAAGTTTCTCCTTAGGGTTTGACCTCAGGGTCTGTCTATAGCAGAGGGCTCTAAAACCCTTAGGCTGTAGTTGTATGTGAGTTTTCCAAGAGGCTCACTCTACTAGGTACTAGGGTTAATTTGTTTGTAATTGATATGACATGTGCCCCAGAGGCATGCACTGAGGTCCAATTGAGATTTTTTTTAATTGGAATTAATTAATTAAAGAGGGCCGCTGAGAGGGGCTGGAGTCAGTGCCAAACTCCGTAACCCTAAACCAGCCAACACACCCAACCGGCTGTACCACCTGGAAAGTGTCCGGAAGTTCTCAAGAGGAGACCTGGGAAGCAGAGCCGGAATTGGGGGCTGCTAGGGAATTGTGGGTACCTCAGATTTCAAAGCACCCCAGAGGCTTGATTCTTGGAGACTGTTATGGGTAACTCAGTAGCTGGATAGAGGAAAACAGAAGGTCAAAGGGGATATGTGAGATTACCAAGCCTGAGAACAGGGGGGCTGGAAGACAGTGATTGGCAGGAGTGAGACTGAAGAAGCCAGTCGGGAGGATCTGGTGAGGAGTCAGAGGAGGAGGAGCCTGGTCATGGAGTTGTGGGGGCGGACAACACATTGCCCGAGGGCTCAGCCTTCAGAGGTATTAATTAAACTCAGGCCTGGGGTTGTTAACAGAGCTGTGGCAGCTTTTCATAGGAGTTGGGTTAATAACAATAACAATTAAGGACCAGGAGACCTTATCTGGAGGAGTTTTTCTTAGAGGTTGTAGCAGTAAGTCTTTAATTTCCCCCAGCCCCTCAGGGCCACATTTCTTAGAAAGTAAATAAGGGTTTACTTCCCTACCTGAGGATGCG